TAGTAATGGTAAATAAGTATTTATGTTCTTGATTTGTGAACTTGCTTTGCTGTTTTTAATTCCAATGATTAATAAATTTTCTTTATACTCACCCACTGAATGAATGATTAATGCGAATGAAATGATTATATAATAGTTATGGTAAATCAGTATTTATGTTCTTGATTTGTGAACGTGCTTCGCTCTTTTAATTATAACGTGTAATAAAGTTTTTATACATACGGGCTAAATTAAAACAAATAATTAATATTAACTTATTAGCGAATTGTATATTGTTGACTTTTTATACGTACTCCCTGGTAATTAAAGTTGAATTATTAATAATGTAAGAGTATAATCTCAATTTTTTAAATCATAAAATCAAATTAACTTACTTATTACGCCATTCATTAAATTTACTATTATTTTTTTCTATGCCAATTCCGTAATAGTAACACCAAAAAGTTTTCCAAATTCCATTGGAATTACCAGCCTCAGCCGACTTCAAGTAATGCTCGAATGCTTTATTCTTATTGATTTCAACTCCAATTCCTAAATAATAACAATATCCAACATGGTACATTCCGTTAGGATTATTCATCCCTGCCGATTTTTGATAATTAATGAACGCCTTTTTTTCATCCTTTTTCACTCCAATTCCATGTTCGTAACAATAACCTAGCCAGAATATACCATCTGGATCGTTCTTATCGGCTGACTTTTGACAATTATTGATATCCAGTTGAATAAAAGCATTGGTGACCTGAGTAATATCTTTTACTAATCTGTCAATTCTTTATTTTCCATTTCTGGTTTTGATTTCAAAAAAAAAAAAGAGTTAATAATGATAACCTAACCGATAACCGATACTGTTTATTTATTTATATTTACGTACAATGGTTATACAAATATATCCTAAATTGTGCGTACGTACGTACGTATCTGTTAAAATCATCCCAGTACATATTGATATATTATTAGAACCAATGGTTACATTAATGGCTACATTACCTCAACGAATGGCTATCTAATTTTGTTTTTTTATTTTTTTTAATCTTCAAAGGGTCTAATTTTGTCAATAACTTGTTAACAATTTTTTTATTGACTTACGGAGTCCGGCCCTATGAGAAAAGTGGTCCGGGTGTTGGTCTGGGTTGGTCCGGGGTTTTCTGGATAGACACGTGTCGTGCGGCACGTAAAGGTATGAATCACGAACCATAACGTGACAGAACGGCACGTATATCCCGTTTTACGGTATTGGCACGTGCGTTGGGTGGCACGTATAAGCACGTTTTATAAAAATTCATCATGGCACGTTTTGGCACGGTTTATGATAAACGTGCATACACATAGTATATACGTGATGGCAAGATAGATGACACGTATATGCACATTTTATATTATAATAGCAAGTGTCAATAGCACGTTCGCGTGCATATTGTATGGGATAGACATTGGGGATCTCGATATACTATGTAAATCAAAACTATAAATGTTATCAGATAAAATTTTAATATCGAAGATTTTTCGTGTAATCTAGGTTCATTAATATAAGTCACGAAGATAATATAAAATATTTATTTAGATGTACAGCCCTTAAAACCGGTTCTTATAAACCCAAATTTTGCACAAATCAAAGTTAAGTCCCAAAGAACAAGGTTACGAAGCCAAATTTATATTTTCATCAATAAAAAATAAAAAAACCTTTTACTTAAAATTTTTTTTTAAACGAACAATGCAAACGATTTGTACTAAGAGTATTTCTATTCACTGAAATATTCCCACACAAGTTATTTTAGAATTTTATGTTCATTCAGAATCAACTTTAAGTTGATTCTGAATCTGTTAATATTCTAAACCACTTACAACATATATATACTCTTATGTAGTCAATGTACAGTATTTATTTTATTTCTGCCTCAATAATAGTTCTATTTATTTATCTAGAAAAAACTTTTTAATTTGAAATTACATATCTAAATGATCTGTCTTATCTATGACATATGAATATTTTGCTAATTTTAAAACACCTACACATCTTCGTATCATTGATACATCTACAAACTCATATTCACCGAATTCTTCAAAATTATATAAGTTATATAATCCTTTTCGCACATTTTTTACATTGTGAATGTATGCAAGTAATTGATATTTTCCTTGAAACATATAGTAAAAATAAAATTGCACACAACCAAAATATTTTCGCAATTCATACTTTTCAGAATCTCTTGGCCTAGCAATATTGACTTCAAGTTCATACTTTTTAAATATATAAATTACAGTTAAGTTTATGTTTTAAATATATAAATATTATTTAAATTTTAATAGGAATTACTGACCATTACATATGAATTTTCACGTGCATTAGCTTCTACTTTCGACATTAAAGAACCAAGCATATAACCTTGTTTTGTCCGCAATTTGGAATATTTTACTCCCCAGTCATATAACTTATATAATAATATATTAGTACAACAATTAATATCTTTAATAATAGAATTTATATAAAATAAACTTACTTCCGCAATATGTTCATCTAAATTAGCTTTATAAAAATTTGATAATGCTATAAATTCTATATCATTTAAAGTATAATCTAATTTAGGTGCCCAAAGTTCTTCACCACCATTCTCAATCCAAACAACTTGTTGTGGATAATACTGTTTAGTTGGGTTTGGAGGAAAAACTTTTGTATACATAGTTGGCACAAAGCGAAGATGATAAAACTGATCCAGCAATAAAACATTATTTATTAGATTCTTATATGGGTGCAGACTGGATTGAACCATTGGTTGTAACATTCCACATAACCGCTTCATTGGATATTGCCAATATACCCAGCATGGCCCACAATTTTCAATACAGGCTTGTATATGAAGCAAATAATGAAAAGTAATTCGAAATGCTGGCAAGTGCTTTATATCTTTGCCAACATATAATCTAATACAGTAATATATTATCAATTAGGGCATTCTCAAGCACCTCTCTTATTAAATTCAATAAAGAATCTGAATAGCTAGTTTGATTAAATGAGCTAGTTAGATTCTTTGTTGAATCGATTAAGAGAAGTGCTTAAGAATGCTTTTAATTCCAAATAAATAGTTAAATTTTTAAAAAAAATAAGAAAATTAATATTTTCACACCCACACTAGATTCTGCTATGTCTTGCTATTCATTAATAGCATGAAATTTAAAGATCAGTATATAATACACAACTTTAAAAAATTATAATTTAAAGTCAAAATGTCTAAACTATTATTTATGCTCTTTATATAAACAACTAGAATTATGTAACAGAGTAATTATATATTCAATATACTTAATCATGTGAATATAAAGACATAGCAGCATCTAATGTGAGTAAAATATCAATTTCAAAAAATAAAAAATAATACCTAGTATATGATCTAAAAAATGCTCAGAAATTTTCACCTAAATGTTGAAATTGTTCGTACGTAATTGATTTTTTAATGGTAATTTGAGCAGCTTCTACAAATAAATGCCAGTTATCTACGAAACTATTATAATAAAAAGATTAATTATGTCTAGTTTTTACTAAACTATCTAAATATACTTAAAAATACCTTTTATCATGAAAATGTTGTAATAAAGGTATCGAATATAAGCAAGTCCAATTTACCTAATTCTCTGCTTTAAATGCATTTGAATATTTAGCAATATTTAATGGAGGTCGACCAAATTCTGATGGCATTGCCTTTTTGTTTGTTTCCATTATACATCCAATATTTTTCCAAACATTTTTAGTCAAGACTTGTGGATTAATTTCTGGATTATTTAAAGTTTTATCTGAGTAAAATGTTCCAGACCAGTGTTTATACATTTGCATTGCAGCACCTTCAAATACTAAGTGCATTATATCTAATGGAAAAGAAGCAGGAAATTGTACAGCCTTTAATTTAAACAAAATACTTTCTCCAGTTACACCTAAATAAATAGTTGTATAATTATTAAATATTGAAATAAAAAATTAAAATAAAAAGTTATGTTATTTAGAACATTCTTAAGCAACTCTTAGTTATTCGAATTTTTACTAATTAAATTTTATCTTAAATTCATTAAGTGAAATGCTTGAGAATGCTCTTAATAACCCCAAGATATATATCAAATTGTAATAACAAAACTTGGTATTTTTATTAATTAAAAAAAATATATATAATAAATATATATACCAGTTTCTTGTTGAATTTTTTTTTTATCAGATGCAGCTTTCCAAATTGTAACCTTGTCTAAATATGATTTATGATCACGTAAAGAAAGATTCTTTGTATTATAAGATTCTTCACCTTCTTTTGTAGGATGCTTTAAAGGGTAGTATATATGATTTACTCCTGCATCTGAATCAAATACTCCTTTTATATCACAAAATCGACAGCCCATATATCCATTATGCCCTGTTACATATATTAACTTGCTAATTGCTGATATATCTCCACACCATATTGGAACAAAAACACGTAGAACAAAATGTTCTTGCTTCCAACCATCCCAACATATTATACCATCTAAATACCAATATAATATTATAAAATAATTAAATTATTAAATTAAAATTAAAATTATTTAATATTTAAATATAAGTACCTTCGAGTCTTTTTAGCTCATTAATAATAGGCCACATAAAGCTATTAAAGTCTTTTGGACATTTAGGACCAGGAATTATTGCTGCAACTAATAAATTTTCTCGCTTAACACGATCTTCTGGTGGAATATTATTATTAATAAACATAATTATCCAATTATCATCACGTTGCTGACGGAATATTTGATACCCATCTAAGCTTCCAGTAAGTATAATATCTCGCTCATCTTTTATCAAATTTTTATTTAGTAAGCTTTTATATAACTGACCATCATAAATATCACCAAACTTATCAGTATTAAGTATATAATTTGAACGATATCTAAAAGTTTTTGATCGTTCAGAACTTGCATATTGAAACTTTAATCGAGAGGTTATTGGATAGTAAGCAGCTACTTTATAAGCTATATCTTTTTTTTGAAATCGTTTAGAAAAACATATAGGGCATTGTGTTGCCTCTGCATATTCTCCAGTAAAAGCTACACATGAATTAATACATATATCAACAAATAATGTATCAATATTAACTAAATTTTGAAGAATCTTTTTTGTTGAATATAAGGTAGGGCCATGGCAATCAAAAATTAGTAAAGTTTCTTCAAAGTCATTATTCGATATATAAGTATTTCTTGCTTTTAAGTATAATAGTCGTAATGCTTTAAATGCATTAGGTGATTTTGCTATAAATAAATTAATTAAAATAGATATTATTAAATATTTTATTTACGAAATTCCTAGAGATATAACTTTATATATTTATTTAATTATATAGTTTGTTTAAACTTACAGTAGCTTATATTAAATTTACATAAAAATTATTAATTAAACATTTAATTACCTTCAATATTTTCAATATATTGAACTAATTTATAATTTTCTTTTTGAATATTATTTTTTATTATGTTGCTATTATTAGTTTCTTCACAATTCATTAATTCTGATTTGCTATATTGCTCTGACTCCTCATACTCTTCAAAATTTTCATATAATTCCATTTTTTCATCTTGTTTTAATTTGTTATCTTGATTATTTTTTGATTTATACACTCTTTTTTTTTTGTAATAGGTTTTTCCGATAATAATGCCATTTTTATCATATAAGCATTTTTCAGCCTTTTCATGCTGGTATTTAATCCGTTTATGAAGTTTTCGACCTTGTGAATTAATTATTAGACAGGCTTTGCATTTGCAAATTACTTTCTCATTTTTATGTGAGTTTGTCATAACTACGTAAAAGGTTAAGTAATATATCGATATAATTTTAAAATTTAGAATTTGCGTAACTGTAGCAAAGTTAAGTTTGTGCTATAATACAAATTCCTAAAAGGGAAATAGCCAATTAGAGAATACATACTCCTAACGCATCTTTTATATTTAATTTGTTTATTTACATATTTAATTTGTTTATTTATAATATCTGCAGCTATATAATAGTTTAAACAATATGAGATCTACACAACATTGTTTTTTTCATGTTACATATTGTTTACAATGACAACTTCTCCTATTTCTTACTCGTACTTATCTCAAAAAATTACAAACTGTGAACTTCCATCCACAGAAACTTTAAACACATTCTCAAAAGCTCAACAAATAGAAATCTTAAAATTATGCTATGATGCACAAAAAAGATTGCTTAATAAACTACTTGAAGATAAAAAATTAGAACATGCTGATGTTGAAATTCCAGTTGTACAACTACCTAAAAGAATCAACAAAAATCAATCGTCAAAGTTAAAACTATGGGAGCTTTGTCCTTGGTTATCTAAAGATTATTTTTCAAAAATTAAATCTGATTTTACGCCACATCTTGAAGCAAACAAAATTACAGAGCTAACAACATGGTCACAGTTAGGATATTCAGCTAGAGAAAGTTGGGTCGAAGATGTAAGTTAATTATATTATAGATGACTATTATAAGTAGACGTATAGAAATTTTGTTTCTAATTAGGTGAAATAGATTACAAAATCAAATATCATGCATGTTGAAAAAAGAAATGATAAAATAAGCTAATATTACAGTATTCAGGTTATCGAACATATATTATACTAAATATTGCGATTAAGTTAAATTTGGATTTATATATTTTTAGGTATATACTAAGCATAGACTTCAAATTGGTTCCAATAAATGGATTGTGCAAGAATGTTTAAAACAAAAATTAAATGATAGAGGTAAAAATGATAATATCAAATTATTTAATTATGTATTTTTTTAATATATAAAATTTTTTATATTCTTAATAGCTGATAATTTTAGAAAAAGAGCTAAAAAAAAAGGTCTCAAAGTTACTATGCCGAATATACAAGTTGCAAGTAGTGATGATGAGCCAGAAGTAGTGCAACAATCGACTAGTATTTTTAAGAGATATGCAATGATAAACAAAGAAAATATAGATTTATCTTTCAGATCTAGTAAAGAATTTGGAGAAATTGACCCAGAAATAAGTAAATATATATTTCATTTTATGCATATTAATTATTAGTTGATTTTGTATTATTAATAATTAAAATTTATTGTTAATTAGATGATAACGATGATTTGGAATCTTTTAGTAGCAATTTTTACGAAAATTGTGATAGTTCTACCTCTAATAGTTATGCAACACCCTCTTCTAGTACCTACATTGCCCCTGCATCCAATAGCCACATTACCCCCACTTCTAGCAATTATGCCACCCCAGCTTCTGGCCATTATATTGATCCTACTTCAGACAGTGATAACGAGACAGGTGAAAACATTTTATCACAAAATCTTAAAGGTATTACATAGTTATATATTAAAATTAGAATCAATATTTAGTTCAATAATTTAATAAGATTTGACTTTATTTATAGATACCTTAAACCAAAACTCGCCTATTAAACAAATCACTGATAGAATAAGCAGCCGAACACGACAAAAAGGTGATACCAATTCCAAGAAATGCGATCAAAGATTAAAAGGTTCCTTACCAAAACGGGTCCGAAAAGAGAATGCTCAATTACTATTATCACCAGCTAACAAAAAAAGGATGGGAAATTCAAAGTCTTAATCGATGGTAAACTAGAATAAGAATAAATTAGAAAAATTCTTGTAAAAAAATATTATATATATATTTTTTAATATACACGCATATATATTAATATATATATATACAGTATAATAACAATAAAGTTTAGTTGAGTAGAATATAGTAATCATTGTTGGATAAAAATTTTAAAGTATACTTGCAATAAACATATATTATTTATAATAGTATTAATTAAAAAAAAAAAGAATATATATTATAGAAGGTTCGCTAATTTATGTGTCACCACTAATTGAATAAGGTTCGTTAATTTACGTATTTGAATAAGGTTCGTTAATTTCGTGTTTGAATAAGGTTCGTTAATTTACGTGTCATCATCCATCAAAAAAGGTTCGATACTTTACGTGTAATTACCCGTGCCAAAACCCGTAAATTTTGGTTTAGTAAAGTGCAGCAAAACCCGGTCCATTTACGGTCCAAAATGTCCGGGTAAACCGTCCAATTCGAACCAATTCAACGTGCCAACACAGGCCGCAAACGTGCAAACCCGGACACCTGACCGTTCCACGCTTGACCGTGCCTTTACGTAGAAACACGTGCCAACACGGACCACTTTTTTCATAGGGCGGTAGGGATTTAAAAATTGAATAAACGTTAGTGGCGAACAATCGAGGTCGATCAATAACTCACTCATCGACCAAACGCATATATAATATGCATACGTGCGTTCATACTTATCTTGAAAACCTCTTGTTAACTACGTATTGTTCTATTCGTAGTGCATATAAACATGACCTAGAATGTGCGTACATAGAGAACCTAAAATTATGAGTGACACAAACGTAACATAACATAATGCGAGAACTTCAACCATTTAAACTCCGCTCTGATCACGTGACATGGGTCCGGTCACAAAAATGTGCGTACATAAAGAACCTAAAATTAAGAGTGACAAATTAAACAAAATGCATAACATAATGCAACCCGATTTAAACTCCGATCTGATCACGTGACATGGGTCCGGTCACATTACGTGGGTCCGGTCATGTACGTGGCTTTCAAGATTCGCAATGGAAAAAAAAAAATTGATTGGTAATTTGCATCGCAAAATTAACCGACCAATGAAAAAATTTGATCGCAATTTGCATCGCAAAATTAACCGACCAATGAAAAAAAAATTGATCAGTAATTTGCATCGCAAATTAACTGACCAATGAAAAAAAAATTGATCGGTAATTTGCAAAATTAGCCGACCAATCAAAACCTGCTTGCCCCAGAACTTGGCCCCCAAAGACCCCCGTTAGCAGGAAATTTGGTTCAAGAAAACAATTTTCATTTTCTTGAACTGAAATTTGGTTCATGATGAATCATTGTTGATTCACATGAACCAGAATTTGACTCATAATGAATCATTGTTGATTCATATAAACCGGGATTTGGCTCATAATGAATCATTGCTGATTCATATGAGCCGGAATTTGGTTCAAATGAACCTCTTTGTATTCATTTGAATCTAAATTTAATTTGAACCATAAAGTTGGTTCAAATTAAAGTGCAAATCTTGAAAGCTGCATGATATTACTCATGCAATCAGATCAGAGAACTATTGATTTGAAAATTTTGTTTATAGTATCTTACCTAAAAATTGAAATCGATAGTTTATAGAAGGTCTGAAACTCAAAAAAAACTATACAACAATCAATCCAACTAAATCAAACAGAGCAATAACTAAAAAAATCTAAAAATAAACATTCTTAAATTATTTTCTAAAAAAAACGTGATAGAAAATCAGGTTCTGATAAAGGTTTAAACAAAGTAAAGTAGTATTCTTATGTATGAAACAGGCCTTGACCAGAAAATCGCAGTATTATCAATGAAATGCCTTGTATTCTAATCAATGCATACATTTGTGATCAAATAGAATCGAATGAAACATGTATAATCATCCTAAACAACCTGAAAATCACATATAACTATATTGAGTATGGATCAAATCATGACAATGAGATTTCTGAGTAGTGGTAGCGATATTAGAGATGTTAAAAGTCCGGTCCAGTGCTTGTTAAGTTCTTAAAACATTCAGTTTATACTAGTTAAAAGCTAGTTTATATCCCCTGTCTAAAACCAGTCTTATCCTAGCAGTTTAATGTATAGAACAATAGTGAATGAGTATTGTGTTTTAATAATAATAACATGAATCGTATTGAATTCATTCCAGTATTATAATCACATTTGGATCGATGTAAATTAGCCAATTAGAAGACCTTGAGATTACAAAATTATAAAACTAGTTTCAGTTCTCAAAAGTTCAGGCCCAAACCCGGTCTAAACTAGTTCACTGTGTACTACTTAATATCCTAAGCAACATGGTGAAAAATCAGGTAAAAAAAATCTAGTGAATAAAGTGAAACGTTAATAAAATATCAGATATGCAAATGCTTAGAAGAAATGAATAAATATAATATTTTACTTAGCTTTGATAGTGCCCAGAAAGAACTAAAGATTAAAATAAGAAAATATTATAAATAATAAATTTATTAATGTTGAAGCGATGTAATTTGTACATAATACTTACTAAATATAACACTCTAACAGTATTTTATTTTATTTTACCTCATTGGATGCAGTTATGTAGAAAATTTCAAATACTATATCGATGCTTCTTTAATTCGTCACTGTTGCTATACAGAAATCAAGATTACAATTCAGCCATAATTGCTATGTTCAGAAATCACGCTTAATAAAAAGAAAATAAAAAAAACAGAAAGAAAAGATAAACTTACCTGAAAGCATTTAAACATCAATTTAATGAAAAGATACAAGCTCAAGACAAAGAGATGTTATATACTATACAGAAACTAAAAAAAATTAACAATATTTTTATAATAAAATAAAAATATTTTTAAAGTATAATAAAAACATTTTATAAATAAAAATATTTTAATAACATATTTATAATGAGTTGATAATATTATTAATAGTTTTAAAAAAATTTTTTTTAAAAAAAAAATATTATTAATATATTAAAAAATGGAAATTATAATTTATTGCACCATGCAACATATTGCACCAGGCAATATATTGTAATATATTGCACTCTAGTCACAGGTCCTATTAAATTATACAATAGCCCACATATATAGGTTTCAAATTCAAACCCAACTGCTTTTTTACAGTAACAACAATATAAAGTTGAATTTAAACCCAGCCGTTTGTTTACAATAACGGCAAGATAAATTGAATTTAAACCCACAAGTTAAAGTTTCAGTAGTTTGTTTACATCATACTGATAATAATAGTGATCCACCCTTATATAAATAGCACAAGTCGTCTGTGCTTTTTTTTTTTTCTTTTTGTTGCCATTTACTAACACACGAGCACTTTTCTATAATCATAAGAAATTAAATAGTAAAAGCACATAATGAACTTACCCAATGAGACCATAGTTTGCGACAGTGATATTGGCTTGGAATATACTTCGGATAAAGAATACCATGGCGGTGTTTACACTAAAGCCTGGCACAAAACCTTGCACGAAGATGTTGAAGTTGAAACCTTGATATATGATGCTGAAGCTCTTCCCGATACTGTTGAAACCTTACCTGAGAACTCTGAGGCCTTTTCCGACAACCTTGAAGCTTTACTAGAAGATGTTTTAGTCTTTATCGATGATGTTGAAACCTTACCTGAAGATGCTGTAGTCATTTTCTATGATGTTCAAGCTGCACCTGAAGATGCTGTAGTCTTTCCTGATGATGTTCAAGCCGCATCTGATGATGTTGAAATATTATATGAAAATGTTGAGGCTATTATGATAGAAAAGAGTCAATCATTTGATAATTTTGATCTTGTGGAGAAACATGTGCAAAATTATGCTGAATACATGGGTTTTAATGTGGTAATGGGACGTAGTACTGTTATCGAAACTGCTGAAAATGAAAAAGTAATGAGAAAAAGGGCAATTTATTGCTGCCATTTTGGTAGCTATAAACAGTCAAATCCTGAAAAGCCCAGAAAAACAATAAGAAAAGGTTGTAACTGGCATGTCAACCTCTCAAGACCACTAAAACAGAATTCGAATTTTCGTGTTTTTGTAACACGTTGGAGAATAAGCATAATTATGTGATGTGTTCTAAAGCTCTACAGTTCGAAAAGTTGAAAACATTTACAAATGAGATGAAAAGAGACATAGAGTTTTATGTTACAGAGTGTAATTTTGGAGCAACGATAATTAAACGAATTTTAAAAAAAAAGTACCCTCTTCAGCCAGTTTATATAACGGACCTCTACACAGAAATTCAACAGAATAAAACATCGGCACAGTCTAATCTAGCTGATGCAGCACAATTATATGAGGAGTTGCAAGCTAAGCAACGTGAAGACCCAAGGTGGTTTGTTGAAGTAACATGGGAGTTGGAAACTAATAGTCTTACAGGAATTTTCTAGATGAGTCCTGAGCAAATTATTTTGTGGCATGAGTTTGGTAATTCAGTTGGTCACGATAATACCTCCAGAACGAATCGATATCATATGCCGCTGTCGCTTTTTGTGGTTGTGGATGATAATATGAAGTCAAGGATAGCTGCTCAGGCTTTATTAAGTGATGAAACTAAGGAATTATATGAGTGGGTCTTATATATGACTAAAAAAGCAACAAGAGGATGAATACCCAACGTATTTGTCACCGATGGTGACCCCTCTATGGAAAGTGCATTAATAACTGAATACCCTACAACACATCATATTCTCTGTATATGGCACCTAAAGGAAAACATTAAAAAAATGCTTCGTGGAAAGCTTGGTGCATCGTTTGGTGATTTTTATTCTTCTTTTTAGAGATGTCGTAATGCTGATACACCTGACGTTTTTTACCATTATTGGGACGAAATGATAAGTAATTACCCAGCTGCAAACACGTACCTTCAAAATCAATTGTATGATAGGCGAAAATCATAGGCTCGTAGATTTACAACTACATTGTTCATGCTTGGTATCGAATCTACATCGTTTGTAGAGAGCCAAAATGCCTGTCTTAAACGTATCATTGAAAGTAGTAATACTTCTCTTTATGAGCTTGGGAGGGTTCTAATAGATAGTGTTGAAGATAGTATAAAGCAAAAGCAATATGAAGATTTAATCAGAGGTGTCCCATATACAGTTAATACCGCAACAATTTTTCTACAAATTGAATCAGTTATCTGTTGTTACTTGCGGCCAAATATTATACGATTTTTAGTTGGTCAAATGAAGGAGAGCATATACTATATTTTATTTCGTTCCAATATTGAAGAAATCCAAAACATGCCTATGAATAAGCCATCTGAGAGTGATAATTTCGAAGACGAACCAGATGGTGTACTTTTATGTGTACAGTTCCTTCTTCAACGCTTGGATTGTACCAAAATTGAAGAGGTTTGGAAAGTCTCTAGGGTTACAAGTCAAAATATAAATCATGTAGTTTTCTGTCTTAACGACAGATTATATAGTTGCACATGCCTGTTACAACAGAAACAAGATCTGGTTTGTAGGCATTACTTTCACCTTCTAAACATCACAAAAGTAGCACGATTCAGCATGCGGCTCATTAATATGCGGTGGATTCCTAAAATGCATCAAAATGATGTAATAATGGAACCTGACTATTATGGACAATGGTTTGTGGACAGCATTACAGATTCTGGTACAAATCGGGAAATAACTAATGACAATCCGCACTTTGAATGGCTCCAACCTTTTAGTAATAATAATAATGAGCAATTTACCCAGGATTCTAGCTTTATAAATGAACAGCTATTTTATGGAAAAGTATGGGGATTAGTTTGTACTGCACTTAATAAATATCTTTTATATCAAGATCATAAGTTTGTTGAGATAGTTAGAACATATTTGGATAGTGTGAATTCCTGTGAGCAGCAAAATCATCAGCAAGTAAATTCAGAAAACGAGGAGTTAAACAAAGAGAATACTTATACAAACGTCAGACTTCAAAACCTGAAAAAAGTTATTACTAAAGGGTGACCGAAACTTTCCAGTCACTACAATAATAAACAAGGTAAACGTTTAGCAAATGAACTATCACTCGACGGAAAGAAAAGGCGTGGACAAAATCATTGTAGCTACTGCAAGGGAGTAGGTCATAATGTTGCGACATGTCCTAAAAAGTTGAGGATCAGCAAATTTAAACTGTATATGTAGTTGTATGTATATATTAGTGTAGATCAAATTCATATCGTTATAATTGTGTTGATTTAAAGCTATATTTGTGAGATACTAACTAAAAAAAGGGAGTCACTAAAGTGGAATGCATTTATTTAGATAAGTTTATGTAAGGTTTGTGTAATATTGCCATTTATATATCCTTTACCACACTTTAGGAATCTTTTTTCAGAATACTACCTTTTTGAGTGACTACATATTGTAATGCATTACTGCATTATCAATCTAAATAGATTAGTCGTGCAACTAAAATTTATCAGATAGACCAAAATTTAGAGTCGGAATCAGCTAGAACTAGACCATCATTAAGTAATAATACCAACTAACTATATTATATGTAGCATTAGTGTTTAGACAATTTTACTTAGTAATAGACTATAGTTTTATGAAAAACTTATTAATTTTGCTTTGAATTTTGGTCAACCTATTAGATTTTGATTGTGTAGCTAATTTATTTAATATAGTATTCGTAAAGCCTCGATTTAATTTGTAACATTTGTAAAAGATAAATACTTTAATAGTTATATATAATAAACCGTAAAAATAAATATATAGAAATAGTCACATGATCCAGGGGTGCAAAATATTGCATATGCAATAAATTATAAATCTCTTAAAAAATTATTATAAAAACATTTTTTAGAAAATATTATAATTATAATATCTAAAGTATTATAATAATATTACAATTGGCCTCACCATTAATATTAAAAAAAAAAAATATATTATTACAATAATAAGAGGCGTAGCGCCTTAGAAAATGGTCAAGATGTCATCCTCCAAGTGGCAGATTGACAGTTCGAATCCCACTAGTGATTTTTTGGAGTTAAATCTGTGTTCAGAAATTGTAGCTTCTGATTGGTTGGGCATAAAACCTGTAATCCTGGTTCCACTATCTCAAATGGAAGCCTATGGGCGCAATGATGCAGTAATGCATCGCAAATCCAGAAAACCAGAAAAAACTCACAAGAACCTATTTGGCAAGTCCCAAGTTAGGAGGTAGTGAAATCGGTCCATATGGTATAGGCCAAAAAGAAGGCTGGTACTATGATTGGAATGAATCTAATAAGGGCAGGTAGCTTCAGTTATTAAATCCGGTAATAATTACATGTTTGGGACATGAAAAGTTGTTTGGTAGGCAGTTGGTATGAGAGTAAAGTAGCCCTTAGGCCATTGTAATAAAAGGGTCAGGTCTGTTATATCTGCAATACGTAGTGAGTCAGATTAGTAATAGGAGGATTGTAAGTTAGAAGGTTTAAATAGGCAATTCCCATAGTTGAGTTGTAGGTATGGCAGCTAATATAGAACCTTTGGGCAGACTACTTAAATTAGGCACCAAAAATATACGTGTAGCTAGTTGTATCCTCGCTCATGTAACAAATATTATGTTGACTCATAATAAAAAATCGGCTATAGTACCCGGCCTCTAAATAAAAAAAAAATATTACAATAATAATATTAATATATTTTAAAAATATCTTTAAAAAATATTTTTAAAAATATTTTTTAAAGATATTTTTAAAATATATTAATATCATTATTGTAATATTATTATAATACTTTAGATATTATAATTATAATATTTTTTAAAAAATGTTTTTATAATAATTTTTTAATATAATTACTTTAATATTAATATATAATTTCTATTGATATTTATACTCTATAAAATTTAATAACATTTTAATTGTATATATATAATGACTTATTATCTTTATACTAGAAATAATTTAAGTCTTAAGATAAAAAATACTTTATTAATAAAATTTTCAAACTAATTGCTATTTGTTATAACATTAATGCTAAACCTAATAAACAAAAATGCAGTAAAAACATAACAATAGACAATTTCAAATTATGTTAATACAAGTGGATATAGTTTTAATAATATGTATAGATGTTTAATAAATAACAGTCTTTTATCAAACTTTTTCAACATACTGCATACTACAGTAATTGTTTTTACTACCAAAACAGAACTATTAGATCTAAAGACACTATTTAGAATATAATCTCGAAAATAACAATAAAAATATCTACAGATCATACCAATTAGCCAAAATGTTATCGAACATAGCATAAATCATTATTTTTGTAAAATTTTAAAGCTGTATTAGTGCAACTCATACAGGAAGGTCCTCAGATTTCCAGATTAGAATACCTAAGAATCATGATTAGAAAGGCCAGAATTAACCAATTTTGCCCAAGATTACTAAAAGTTTACTAATAAATCATAGCTCACTCATTAAGTAAAGCTGCCTAGTTGATAATTTTTGCCTAGAAATAGTTGACTTATATTGCTAAATCTGATGAAATTGTTCTAGAAATTTAGGATTCTCCAGTAAAATTTGTATTAGTACAAACATTATTTAATTCTATATTTGGGTTTATCAAACATGCCCTATTTTTGAATACATCAATCACAACTTAAATAAAATAAGAATATAAAATTAATCCAAAGCTTAATTAATTTAAGGAAAGAACTTATCAGGTTTACATTGCATTAGAGATTGGACTCGAGTCAATTCGTAGCTTAAAAAACATAGATTTGACTCAAGTTAATTCGAGTTTAAGCTACGAGTTGACTCAAGCCCAGTCTCTATTTTTCATATTAGGTTTGCGATTGATATAATATTATTTGTTTTAAATCTTTGTATTTAGAATCAAATTAACCTTTTTAATAAATTAACTTCAAATATTAGACATTACATCATTTTCAATATCAATATATTTAACATTTTAAGATTACCAAATTAATATTTTCAAATCTAATTCAAATTTCTTCTTGACTCAGATTAGTATAGCATCATACTACGTATTCAAAACTATAACATATATCGATCTGATCATAAATAAAATAAATAACAGAGAGTGTGGTGACCTAGTGAAGTTGGTAGGTTGTTGCATCTCAAGTGGCAGGACAAGAGTTCGAATTCCACTGGTGACGAAATTTGAATTTTATAGAATGTGTTATAGCAGACTGTGTATAATCCAGCAGATCGACGTCTGTAATCTTGGTCGTACTAGCTTGTACTGGGAGGATCTGGAACAGTAGTATAATGTAAGAGTTACACAAAACCCAAGTGATGGATCTGAGTAAATCCAGAGGAACAGGACACACGAAGCCCTCTTGGCAAGTTTCGAATGGAGAGGTAGCACAGATCTTTAATGGTACTATATAAAGAAAGATCATTGGCAATCAGATCCGACTGCAAACTGAACGAAGACTGGGTGTTGGGCAAGGCACTATATCAACCAGGCCACATATATATGGAGAAAAGTATTTATCAGAATACCAGGTAACACAAGTTCCTTCTGAGCCATTTGGATTAGGAGTTTGGAAATGCTGTTGGTGTGCCAAGAAAGTTGGTGATAGTTCGTAAAGTGGGTGCTGAGGTTTGGGTGAACTTCATAAGGGCAAGGAGTAAGTAACAGTAGCGGTTTTAGCTCGCAAGTACTTGGCCTCAGTTTAGGCATAAGTTATTGAAAATCTAGGTGATACATATGTAGGACATGGACTGCTCTAGTAGGTTTCCTATGATGATAAAGTAGTCCTAAGGGGCCTTAGCAGCAGTTTCTCTTTGGGAAGAATATCTGATAGTGCTAAGTTGATCAGAGGGTTTAAATAGATAACTTAAGTAATAGTAGGTTATAGAAACAGCATCTAGTGTAAAACCTAGTAATAGGTAGATACTTAATTAGGTGCTCAAAAGGCGCAGATATAGTTAGAATATATTCTCATTAATATAACAAAGTCAAAGGTGGTCCTGTGGCTGCCCTGACATTTACAACCGAAGTTAATAAAACATGTCAGACCCCAAAGTAGACATCTTAACATTAAAAAAAATAAAAATTAAAAAATAAATAACAGCAAATACTGTAAATAAATAATTATAATAAATAAAATAAATACTTCATATGATTATAAACAAATTATATTTAAATCAAATAATAAAATAATTATACAAGCCATGCTATACCCAGTTATATGGTAAAAAAAGATTAATTAATAAATATGAAAAGTGGATATCTAAGCTAACAATAAATTTATTAGAATCTTATTTATACTTACTTTTACTTTAATAAAAATGAAATTTATAAGCAAATATGGCTTTAATTTCAATCATATCATGCATATGAAATTTTAATATTATTAATCTGATTCTGCTTTACTATCATTAGTTGCACTTTTAGTACAAATATAATTTTAAGTAGCAAAATAATTATAATCTTTCTTAGAAAAAAAATATCTACAATGCTCAAGAAATCTGTTTTAAAACAAAATTCACTTATCTTTAATAAAGCACCTATACAAGTGTTTACAAGCAAAAAAGCACCTACACAAGCATCTACAAGCAAAAAAGCATCTGCACAAGCGTCTACAAGCAAAAAAGCATCTGCACAAGCTTCTACAAGCAAAAAAAACACTTGTAAAAGCATCTTCTAGCATAAAAGCACCTGCACATATGCCTATAGGCAAAAAATTATCTACATCTTCAGGCAACAAAAAAATTCTTCATCCAGAGTTTATGATAATTTGAATAATAATCTTGAAGGCTTTAACGATTATGATGCACCTTTGAGTAACAGTGCTAAAGATGCTCAATTTCGTTCTCACTCACCAAACTCCCATTCTCATTCTCGATTACTACACTCCTGTTCTTATTCTTGATCACTATATTCTCATTCCCAATCACAAAATTTTTAACAAAGATTTTTTTATATACAACACTCTTGTTCACAGTCAGAAGCACTTATTTCAAATCTTAGCCTTTTTAATCACGACATTCTTATTCTCTATCTAGATCTCAGCCTTTCTAATCAAGACGTTCTCATTCTCCATCTATATCTTAGTTTTTTTTAATCACAACGTTCTTATTCTACATCCAGACCTCAACCTTTTCAATCACACCATTCTCATTCACCATCAAGATCTCAAGCTTTCTGATCAGAACGCTCTAGTCTCTTATCCAGATCTCAACCTTTCCAATCACGCTCTCAGCCACATAGCTGCAAAAACTCACATTTGAATTAGAATATGAAGCAGCAGCATATGTTTCTGAATGACCAGATCTTTTAAAAATTGCATCTCAAATAGCTCAATACGATAGTTTTAAAACATCAAGTGATGAAAAATTTGTGATTTTTACTCAAAAAGTAAGTTACTTTGAATTGTGATAAAAGCATATAAGTTATGTGCTGAGAAAAGGAACCAAATAGATGATTTTTTAAAAATCAGTTTTTGAGCTTAACTAATTTAAAATAAGCTAACATTTTTTTCTCAAGTAACAAATACTGTTATCTTAATAAAATTTTGCTATATAACTTGTTAAAGTTTGTATTTTCTTATATTTTATTATAGAATTTATAATATTTTTCACAAATCATTTTTATTTTAATTAAGTTCCTTTTCTTTAGCACCAAACCCATATTATCTGTTCTTATTAATTTTTATAAATTATCTTTTTGTCTTTAGAGTCAACAACATTTCAA